GTTTATTAATATTATTTGTTTTTCGACATCATATCGTACTTTAAGTTAGGTTAAATCTATGTTGCAACAGGTCTTTCGGCATTTCTGTTTCGGCTTTCCTCCTGATTGGGAAGAATGTGGAACCAAGTTTCTGAATAGTAACTGTGAAAGCGCGGCAGAGCCTCCGGTGTCTCAAAATGAATGCCGGCCTATTTTCTTATCATTGCCAGTAGATGATGGCATTAATAATTTGAAGAATGATGACTCAAAGAATCTTTCACCACTATCGAGATGTCGTGTAAATGATGTAAGTTGGGTGAAAGATAGTGTGGTGGTACCAGCAAAACCTTCTGGTCACCATGTGGATGTGGCACTATCTTCTGAAAAGATAGGCAGCAAGAAAAGCAAAACCATATCTTTTGGAAAGTTGATGGCTAAAAGGTCAAGTAGTTTAGAAAGAATCAGCTTCAAGAATGATGCATCGGGGGAATGCTCAGCACTCACGGATTATAATGTGGGCAATATCACTAAATCAAACTTTGACCAGACACTGTCTGTTAGAACTTCAGGTGTGGTACTGGCTGTATCCTTAGAAGTGATCTCGAGTTCAAAGTAAAAGAAAAGGGAAAATGAGGGAAACCAGGATGGACTGAAGAGAAGTGATTTCTCAATGCCATCTTTGCCTCAAGGCCCTCAGGTTATGCTAAGATGCATTGAAAATAATACTACACCAGGGCCGTCTCTTTCTAGATCTCCGACTCGGGGAGATTCTGATATTTTAAATCAATCTGATAAATGTCTCGTGGAAAACTCTGTGTTTTCCAGCATGCGGTCAGGTGCGGAAGCAAATATCATTAGTCCATCCATGGAAGAAACAGAGGCATTGGATGCTAATCTCATTGATTCTGGACATAGGAAAGGCACTGCCTCTGTGACAAATCTGATAAATATACCGATACAGAAATCTGTCTCTGGACATTCAGTGAGGTACAAAGCCAAAAGGTTGAAATCAGTTGAAGGTAAACCGAAGAGAAATTCAGGCACAACTCTTGATATAGCAGAGGCAATGTTGAGAGCTTCAACAAAGATGAATACACTGTCAGGAAATTCAAAAAGTAAAGAGTAGAAAGAAACAATAGCTGTTGAGAAAGGAGGTTTGTCCATGAAGCAAGCTAGAAGGAAAGTTATTTTTGATGCCGATGTAAGCTATTCTGATTTTTTTTTATTCTGATTTTTTTTTATGGTAATTTAGTTTTTTTCCTTTTCAAATGTGCAAATCCTCAACATTTATTTTTAATGTCCACCGATTCATAAATTATAACCAGTTACAACTGGCCTGACTTTATGTTTTATCATCTCCATCTTAAAGATAGCTGTTCCCCCAAGAATTCAAGTGAATTCCTTCTAAGTTGTTCCCCCAAGAATTCAAGTGAATTTTATCATCTCCATCTTAAAGATAGCTGTTCCCCCAAGAATTCAAGTGAAATTCCTTGTAAGTTTCTGATGTTTTCATGCCCTCATCACTTGACAAATGTTCTCAAAAGAAAATTGTAGATATCCTGGTCTATGAATTTTTATACATGGACCATTACAGAAATATGATATTTTTATGGCCTTTATGACATAAAGATCAGTTTTCTGATTTCATGAAATCAAAATGTGATGTGTTGTTGCTTATGTTTTTGCAGAAGTTATTTGTCAAACTCTTGAACTGTTTTAGATGGCCATTTCTGAGATCATGGTTTTCCCATGTTTGAGAAACTCAATTGTTAGAGAATGATATAAATTATATCATAAGATTTTATCTAAAAGTTTAAGTTATTGAGTTGAGATAGTTCTTTGATATGATATTAGAGTTTTGATGACTAAGCGATGACGAGTTCGAATCTCATTATCCCTATTTATTTTATAAAAAAATTTAGTATAAGGTAATGTAGACCTGTGCAAGTTTCAGACCCAAAAGGCTTTCATTTGAGAGGGTGTATTAGAGAATAATATAAATTATATCCTGAGACTTTATCTAAAAATTTAAGCTAGTGGGTCGAGATGACTTTTTAATACCAGTGATGGAAATTATCTCTATGGAGGATCTGTTAATATATCTTCTGTAATATGATTCACCAACTATTTAATTAATTTGTACATGTTACAGGGAGACTACTTTTACCTACCCTAGATTTCTGGCGCAACCAAATTGCAGTTTATGATGAGGTTATATCTCTGGTATATTCCCATTTTTGCATTTATTGGATTGTGACAGCACCTGTTCAGACTTGGCAAACACCGTCCATTAGTTGAACACAAATGATATGCTCCCATGAAGTCTTCTTGAGGATATTAAAGTCCAAGCAGTTATTGCTTTCTGCATTTAACTCTTAGAGAACGACATATATAGGGTAAATTTGGGACAGTCATGATCATATTAATGCTTGACTCTTCAAAATAGTAATATTTTGGAACAGACATTATGGACATGACAAAAAACACTTTGGGGAGTGTTTTTGTACTTTCAAATTTTCTACTAAACTGTTGGATTCAAATCTTGTCCCTACAAGTCAATTGTTATGAAGTGATTATCTTCGTTTCTATTTATTCCATACAGTTATAGAATTGGGTTTTCTAATTGAATGTATTTGCCGTCATTGCATGGCATACTTTGTCCTCAGGGGTTGAATCTAAGACTCAGAAGAGCACGAGAGAGTAAATAAAACCACAGTCTACTTTATCTAGGGGCAATCAAGAATCGCCATGGAGCAAAGCCATTAGTTGGGGAGGGGAGGAATGGAGATGGTGATGAGAAACAAAGGGCTAAAGGAGGTAATTGTTGTAATGAGGAGGGATTAAGTTGGTCTCGTCAGAATTGGCATTAGCATCCAATCTAGGATCTTATCTTTGTCATATGCAACCGTTTGTCATGTTTTTCTAGCCTCGAACTGGTCTTTCTTAATAGTTGTTTTTTTTTTTTTTTCTGAAAATCTGATCCAATATAATTCATAGTTCCGCTTCCTCCCATCATTTTTGTTTTTCCTCTGAACGATTTCTTTCATTTTCTTCCTTTATCCAAATGGAGAGAAAATTATAATCTTTATTCATTCATTCAACTTCAAACATCAAGGGGATCGTTTCTTTAATTGGGTTCTCAAACTAGAAGTTCCTCCGATTGGGTTTCTGAAGTTTTAATCATTTCGGAATTGAGTCTTCCTTCCATGTCCGTGAAAGCTTTTTCTATCTAAACCGTATATTTTATGCAATAAAATTCGACCTCTTTGAGAGATTTTGGCATATCCTATTGCAAATTTCTGATAATTTCGGGAGAAACCCAGTTACGGAATCCTTGATCTGTTGGGAACCAAATTAATAAATTATTTTGTTCATGGACACCATTGTAAATAAATAAATCTGAATATGGTGGCAAATGCTAATTGCACAAAGCTTGTGCATCAGAGTAAGCATCAATAATCTACCATCAAACTAGGTATGAAGATTAGTTAGAAGAGTAAGGCAGATGACAGAAGGCACAGCTTTTGGTACGGTGCAATTGCTGGTTGATTTCCGTGCTACTTAAAGCATAAATTTTTGAAGATTAGTTAGTGATCTCTTATTCTCTACTCTTTTTTGTTTTTCAAACCTAGAGCTTCTACATATAACATCATTATCATATTTGAATAGCTGAAATAATATTTCATTCAAATTAAGAATTACTTTTGATCATAGTTGTCCAGGTCTGATTTGATTTAGGGCTGGATAAGTGGATCACCGGGAGAACCCATGAATCATCATGTTAATCTGAATTGGGCAAGGGTAAGTAGATCACTTGGTCAACCCATGAGTTATCATGTCAATCTAAATTTATTAATTTTTTCAAAATGATGATGTTTTAGTTTTTTTTTTTTTGAAAAAAAAGATTCCATAATATTAACTAGACTGGATTTGGACTGAGTTGCTTCGAATCAATCAAGTAACAGGTCAACATATTGAATCATTTAGGTTTAGCAGAGTTAATATCACTATGATCGAAATGTAACTCATTATCTATTCAAATGAAACCTAACTTGGGTTAGATTTTGAATCTTAAATTTGCAAGGTCAATTTATCAGGCCGAGTTGGGTTTTTACAACTATGTTTTTTACAAGACAAAAATGAGTGGTATGGTGCCTTTAGTTGCCAGAACACATGAGGAAATTGAACTTCATCCATAAGTAATAAAAACTTTATTATTATAATTATTAATAATATTATTATTTGAAGAAATCTAATATCAGAAATTACTGTAATGTTATATTCATGAGTTTCAAAGGCCAAGAGAGAAATTCTCTGGCTAGAAGCTGGAAATGTAAAAGAGGCATCATTGTCCTTGCCCTTCAAGAACTTCTATTTCTTTGGATTGGAGTTGTAATTTGGTTCTTTTGTAAGCTGGTTCTTGGCTAATCCCTTTTGAGGCTTCGTTGTTTTCTGATCACAGTCAGCATAAAAACTAATGTTAGATGCTGTTTCCTGCAAAAACCATTAAGGCAGTGATAAATTCTAAGGTGGCACCAGCTAGAACTGCAGATTACCTGGCAGCTTTACCCGTTGTGCTTGGTTCATCCTCTAGACAGAGTGATGCAAGTGATTTCCGCAGCTGCACAGCATCGGCTCCACCGCAGCTGCCCTGACAGTCACTACACGTGTTCACTGTCCATCTCATTGGAACAATCAAATTCCTGCAGCAGAAATGGAAAAGTGATGAGCAACATTTTGAATCCTAAGGAAAAATACCATGAAATTCTTGCAGTTAACTTACCCCTCCATGCATTTGTATAAGCAGCGATTCATCTGCTCCTTCGTGTAATTCCGAAATAAGGTGTCGAGACTCGTTGCTAGTTTTGGTATATTAGGTGATGGTAAAATATCCCAAACCTTCAAAACTTGAATGCAGAATGAGTTTTCCTGCAGAATGTCCACAGTCCAGATCATATTTAGCTGTGCACTGACATTATACTGCTCTATCAGTGGAAAAGAAATGCCATTGTGAACCATTAGGCTTCTCTTCTTGCGAGACTGATGCTGACGCCAACCATTTGAAAGCTTGGCTAATAGGGAAAGCACTTCCTTACAGATTCTGACATTCCTAACTCTCGCCATGGATCTCCGGAAATCATCACTGAAAAAAATCTGTATTAAAGAGAAGAAAAGCTAATTAATACTTGGCACCAGAGAATGACATTAATGTGTGCGTTATCAAATAAATTGCACCAACCACTAATAAAATGGTGTAATTAATATGCTACAGCTATTAATGTTATAATTTATGACCAAATTGTTTAACCATTTATATTTATAAATAAAGATATAAGTTAAAGAGCAAAATAAAAGAGTATTTAAAGCCAAATATGTGAGAAATATACAAGAGAGTGAGTTGTTAAAAGACAACAAACAATGTTGTCATTGCAGTACTATAACAAAAGAAAAGAGAAAGGTTGAGAATTGTAAAGAGTAAATGATTCTTTTTTTTTTTTATTGTTGTAATTCTTGTTATCTCCTTATATAATTAAATGACTTTTCCCGTAGATGTAGACTATTTACCGAATCACGTTAAATATTATGTCAATGTATTTAATCTTCAATAAATAACTAGTTAGAATTTCCATCAAATATTTTTTAAAAAAATATTCAAGACTTGCTAAGAACTAATAAGCTTACCATCCATCTTGCATTCCGGAACAATGGGGAGTGAGTTTGTAGTAGAACATCAAGTCGGCCATGCTCGATCAAGCTTTCTGTAATAGCCTGAGCCAAACTCTCATCCTCTTCAGCGTTATAGAAGCATTGCCGATGCTTCGCATCGTTGACTATCTTCTTCCAAATAGAGCCGCTCTTAACTAAAGTTGCTTCATTTCCTAAAATCCAGAGGCAAAACCTCCACACCAGAAAATATACAAGTTCAAATAGGAATGGAGAGACAAAAAAGAAAACAGGAAACGAAACTTTTGAGCTGCTGATGTTTCCTCTATTCTTATTTAGTACCTTGCACGAGTCAGCGCCACATTTGTTCGTTGAGGATTCGAAACAAAACCCACCGATCCGTTCTCATTGCTTCGAACAGTAGAGATAATTATCAGATCCTCCTCTCCACCCTGAAAACCATCAACCGTGCCAACACTTACAGAAAAGGCACTGTCAGAATCTGAAATGAATTTCCCAATCTTCTCTTGAATTGCATGAACTTGAGCCTGGTATGGTGATATGATACCTATGCTAACCTTCTTCCCAGTGCCATTAATATCTGTAACATCAACATGAAGTCAAAAGAATTCTGTAAATCTATAGATACATCAGAAACATCTGATATTTCTAAATAGAACCTTTGAAAAGTCTCCCAACTATATCAGCAGCAGCAGCAGCCTCGACTGTATTTTTGAAACTCTGTTTCTCAACAACTTCCTCTTTTCCATGGGCTATATTTATGAAAGAGTAGGATTCGAACATGTTTCCTTGGAGGAACCGTCTCCTGTAGCCAGTTTCTTTGACGTTCGGCGCATCCAAAACCTGCCTTCCATAGAACTCCGTATTCGGAAATAAGCTTATTGATGGATGCATTCGATATTGAATGTTTAGAAGATGGCTCTTGCATCCCAGCTTTACGAGCCTCTCAAACAAACTTCTACCAAAACCAGCCTTCTCTGAAATCTAATAGTGGTGCGTTTTAAACATGTTACGGTATGAAAAAGTAAAAGGTTTTGATGGCATCAAAAGATAGAGGAATAGAACCATTCAGGAAAATCCAAACCTTGCTATTAACGATGGCAGGCAATTGCCGTTCATCTCCTATGAGAATAGCATGGTGAAGGCCGGAGAGTTGTAAGGGGATTGTTGATTCACATTCTTTGAGCTGAGCAGCTTCGTCAATCACCAAGCAGTGCAGAGGTGCCATTCTTATACTATGCAGCCTGGCAGAGCCTGACACGGTACAGAAAAGCAGGCATGCATTTGATAAGCAGAATTTCTCAATAGAATTTTTATCAGCGAATTCTGGAACCTGAAATTTTAGAGAAAGTAAGCGTAGAGTATTGAGGCATTCCCTTTTTTCATTTCTCAACTTTATACGATCATGAAGTCTTCTTTCTTCATCTTCATTTTCCCCTGGAATCTGCTTTAAACCTTCATTGGCAGCACTGAGACTAAGCAACAAGGTTTCAAGTGATGTCATCAAATCAAGAGCCCTGGTCATGATCCTCATCACTTCTAATGAAATCAAAGAAGTCGGTAAGTGTGTATACAAATTCACAATACAGAACTTTAATTGCTTTCCGGAGAAATTAAATCTTTCCCATACGAATCGATCACAAGTCAAAAGTCCTTCCTTTCCCATGTTATCCTGCGAGTACAAATGGTATTGCGCTTCAGAGTCTTCAAGTAAACTTATCAATGTAGCTAAACTGTGTTTCCAGCCAGTTGATGTATCAAAGCTCTTCGCAAGTATATCAGCACGATGATCAAGAAATACATGAAGAAGGCCATTCTGATCACCATCAAACTTCTAACACTGCAATGTTAGTTGGAGCACATGTAAGTGTTCTGCATTTCATTCTTAATAGTGAGTGTAATAAGCAACTAGCTGTCTTTGTTTTCCCAGTTCCTGGAGGACCCTTTAATAATTTGACAGAATAATGGTGACAGCATCTGGCTGTGTGAATACAGCTTAAAACCGCAGCTTCTTGTGAGCTGTTTAAATTAAAAGTCTGTAATGCATCCCTTATGCAGGCAGAGGCAACATCACTAATTTTACTAGGAGAGCAAATAGAACAATTTCCACCATCCTGCATGAGATCAGTTATAAATGCAGTCAAGCTCAATAAAGAAATGAATACAACAAACAAATTTTCCATCTTCAAAGCTGGGATTACAAAAATGAGATGCTGAATCAAGAAACCAGAATCATAGTTCTTACATTGAAATTTTTTTGCAGCACTTTCTTAATAACGTTCATGTTCCTCCCTTCGAGTTCCAAGTGCAACGATCTCCATATTCGCAAATTTGTCGTCAGATTTATCAAATGAACAGCAAAGAGTGTTCCCTTGTTCAAGCCTTCTTCATCCACTATGGGCTTCGAAGACAGAATCGAGGGTGTCAAACGATTTCCCCCTTCCACGGCATGAACGAAAGCAACATGATAGGATTGCTGGGTCTTCCTTAAATCATCAATGCACTTCAGTTGCACATATGTCAGGGCTATAAGATCCCCGACCCAAGGTACATATCCAACTGTGGTTTCTTCCACCGAAATTTCGTAAAACAAGTCCTTAGGTGGCTTATAATCCTTAGATTTTCTAACACACAGTATTCTACAAGTTGGTGCTTCAGCCAGTGATTCTGTACTTGAAAGCAAATCAGCATGTGTTTCCACATGTAGGGGTGGAATGAATGCTTTCATGTAAGGAGCTGTTGACTTGAAAGAGTTGGGATCTTCTCCACCTATTAGGGGACAATATCAGAGTTCAGAATCATTCTCATGCATGTAATCTGGCTAGCAGGAAATCTTGGTATGAATTTTCAAGAGCTTAATTTGCCGAACTTTTGAAGAAAATCTTGCAGTAGAAAAACTAACTGGTTTTGACAGAAATTTAAATCCAAAAGCTCTTAAAAGAACATCATGTTAGAAAATTTGTTCCAAGGGACAAATTAAAATGGTTAAACTTAATTTAGTTAAGACTTTATTGGAAATTATTTTTCAATAAGATTTTTTAAACATCAATTCATCTCCACCAAAAGATAAGTAATAAAACATCAATGACAAATAATTAATCATTAACAACAATAAATTTTCAATTTAATAAAAGAAGTTGAAACTCTTCTACATCTTAGTTTTTCAACTTATTCTATTTAGTTTCAAGCTATATTTTCCTTCTAAAAAAAACTATGAAGAACTTAAAAAAACATGGAATAAGATCATGATTTTCCAAAATAATGTTATTGCAAATTAACAAACCTGGTCTTTGTAAAGATCCTCATTGAGCACATCTTGAATAGACCAAGAAAACACTAAATCTAGTAACCCTCTACCCTTGACCTTTTCCCACTTCACATGATCAGTTCTCTTGTTCATTGCTTTTCTGTTACATACTCATCAGCTTCTCAAAAAACACAACAACATTATGGTTATTATGAGTTGCAAAATGAAGCACAAACTCACCTATACCATAGCAAACTCAGAACAGTTAATGTCTTGAGCACTTCTGCTAGTGAAAGAAAAGTATATGCCGTGCTTTTCCTTGGAAACAAGAAAAGCTTGGTACATTTAAAATGTATTCCTTTCATAGACTTCATGTCAACTATCGTTTCCAACTTTTATATTGAAGTCTTTCTTCCTCGTATATGGACTTTGCCAGGGATACAGAGAAAAGAATAACTTCAGATTCACAAATGCTCCATACCTATCCCTGTAGTTCAGAATTCCTAGCATAATCTCTGTCTTTTAAACGTTTTCTAACTAAACCCTTCTGCTCAAACAAGATTCTTTCAAGCAATATCCCTTCCCCTTCTCTTTAATTTTTGTTCTATATGTATATGGTTTGTGCGCCAAGAATCTTTGAATGCAGTGAAACTTGTTGCAACCTTTGAATTTGTTTAGTTTGTCAAAGTGATCCCTCGCTTCATATGGGCCGGTTCCAACATTTTGTTAGCTATTTAATTATCGGTGGTAAAGTTGAAAGATTTTAGAAAATATAAGATTAGTGTTGGGAAAGCTATGGAGGCAAAAAATAGTTTGCCGTACAACGTTTTTGGTACCTAATGAAATAACGTGCATGTAGAAGAATTTTGATATAGTTTTGAAATATATATATCAACGGATTTTAACCAGTTAGTGAGACAACTTCTCCGTTATTTTATACGAAACTCGTCCCGAGTTTAACCTCCCTATATAGGAGATGATCATCATCTTATCTTTGATTTCCACTTCATATTTCTCCTCTTTAGCTCATCTAAAATAAAAACATTAACGTTGAATTAATGTCTGAAACTAGAAAGGAAAAATATCTTCTTTAAATTTTACAACCCTTTTGCAACATTATTAGACTTAGCATAGGTTGACCTAGTTAAACAAATATACAGCTATGCAACAAGTAGGGAGCACTACATTCTTCAGTCAGACAGCTGCAACTTCCATTCAAGAACTTGTAGAGCAACCCGAGGAGTGAAATTTTCATCTTAATTTTTGTTTTCATACATTAGAGCAAGGGAGATTATTCCAAAAATATTTTAACAAGAGTACTAAAGATGTCCTTACCACATTAATTATTATTTGGCCTTAACCACCTAGGTTTTGATCCCCTTGTTCCACGGCTAAATCCATCTTTCTTAGACCTCCAGGGCTGTCTGATACTCATGAACATCATACAAGAATTGGTGATTCGAAGAATACTACTGATAGAGTGGTAGGTCGAAGCTAAGACAACATAAAATTTGACCTTTCTATTGAGAAACAAATTATTCATAGCTTTAGTGTTGCATACCTACTAGTTGTTGCTGGTGCTTCTGATTCATCCCTGATAACAAGTGAAGCTAATGGTTGTGACAGCAGTTGTGCAGGATCGTTTAAGGATTACTACTCTCGAGACCAGCACCAGAACTTATTGAACATCTCATTGGATCAACCAAATCCCTGCCAATTTATAAATGACAAAGTATCCATAAACATCCATTTCAATGCACAGAAGGAGGGAGGAGAGAGGTCACAGGCTTGAGACCTGCCCTTATTCCTCAAAACAGGAAAAAGAACACGCATGTTTAACAATGGCTTCCTAATGCTGAAGCCAACTCAAGCTACTGCTGCTGTACAACTCCCACTCTATAATATCTGAAGAGGGAAAATAGAAAGATGCATACCCTTCAGTGCATTTGTGTCTGCAGTTCATCTTATTCTCTGTTTAATTTCCAACGACAGCATGGAGGCTCCTTGCTAGTTACGGTAATGATAGGATTGCTGCCATTAACGTGCAATAACATAGAGCATGTGTAGTTTACCTTAAAAAATAGAGTTATTATTGTCAAAAGATTATAATGATAATTACATTACCTATCAACAAAAATGTTGCAACTCATGTGTTGCCACCAATTATGTCATGATTTGTGAATCTTATCTCATCATTGATGTCTATAAATAAAAGCATTATTTGAGAGCAAAAATATAAGAGCATGTAGAAAGTGAAGAGAAGAAAAGAAAAATGTTGCAACCCATGTGTTGCCACCAATCATGCCATGATTTGTGAATCTTGTCTCATCATTGATGACTATAAATAGAAGCATTATTTGAGAGCAAAAATATAAGAGCATGTAGAGAGTGAAGAGAAGAAAAGAAAAAGAAGAGTCGCTGCCATGAGCAGTAACACTGCTGCTATATGCAGCAGTGTGTGTGAGCTGAAAGTTGAGTTAGAGTGAATATGATCCTCCTCTTTTATGTATTTATTTTGTATCCTTTCTGTATCTCTAATAATATTGACTCTCCTATGGATGTAGATGATCTGTCGAATCACGTTAAATATTGTGTCAGTATGCTTCGTCTCCAATGAGCAAATATCAGTACATCACCAGTTAAGATTCCGCAACAATTAGTATCAGAGCAAATGGTTTAGAGTGGTGTTTGTTTTTGCTCAAAAATAAAAGTTGTCAAAAATATGTTTTGACCATACCACTGTGTAGAGGAAGAAGAGACTAAGCCACGGGTGAAAACTGCGTCGAAATTGTCCTCATGCGCCGTCACGCACCCAATAACTTAATATCAAATAATAAAATTAAAATTAAAATTAAATTAGGTTAATCTTCAAAACTAACAACTTTGATCATGAAACTGAAATGACCATATAAAATATAAAAAAAATCTTGAACAAAATTCTTAACTATCAAAAATTTAAAAAGAAAATAAATAGTAATCAAAACAATGAAAACTAAATCTAGTATAAAAACTAATATAGTATGCAAGTTGCTTCACAATGTTTTTTTATAAGAGAAAATTCAAACTATAAATTTAAAAGACTATGTAAGCAAAATCAAGATATTTCATAACATAAAATGAGACATGGATATGATTATGTTTATTAAGTATATTTATTTAAATAAATAAAAGATAAATCTATATTTTAAAAACCTCATGACATAAAAGATAAATACAAATGAAACTGAATGAATAAACCATTAAAAAAAAATTTATGTAAGGCCGAATATATTAGCAATATAATTTAAAAATAATTTTTTTATTACAAAAATTCATTTGTATAAAAACAATTATAGATGAATTAAAACAATACATCAAAAATTGAAATAGAAACAAAACAACTAAAAAAAACTTATATTAAAAAAAGTCATGCAAATATCGTGACTTAAATCATGAAACTGAGATAAACCCATAGAAAAAAACCTGAAAATAATCATAAGATCAAGATTAATAAATAACTAATGCAGAATAATAAGATCATACAAAGTCGAATTCCTAACAAATTAAATGTCGAAAGATGAAACCAAAAAAAAAATTAATAACATAAAAGGATCGAAAAAAATAAGGGTGAGAAAACATTAATAATTAGAGGGATAAAAATTTTCCATTGGAGGGTTTAATTGAATTGAAAAATAACTTTAAAAAAAATCTAAAGAATGAGGTTCAAATTGAAAAAAATAAAACAACAAAAAAATTGATTAAATGATGAAATTGAAAGGGAAAAAAACTTCAACAAAAGTATCAAGGACAAATTTAGAAATTTCAAAAAATAAGAACCGAAATGAAAAACCAAACATATGAGAAATTGCAATTAAAAGACTAAATTAAAAAGAATAAAAACTTATATAAATGGAAAAAAGAACAAAATAAGAAATCAATATATTAAAGATTGAAATTGAAAAAAAAATAATGGTGTACATTACATATTAAGAGAGACAAAAGAAATGAGGGAAATCAAATGGCCACTGATTATGATTCGATTACTGTAAACTGCCACGCGCCATTCCAAATGGAAGAAAACACGATGACGCAACTAGAGAGACGATAGAAGGCTTGTTACATCCACTAGGTGACATCACACACATCTCCTAAATGAAGTAGACGTCACCCACGTGTTGAGGAGTGTCGAACACACTACAATAGCTTTAAACATTATTTTTTATAAAAAAAATATGAAAATACCAAATTGTCTGTTACAACCCTGGCAATTACACAAAATACTCATATAAAAGTATAAAAATACCTCCAAATGCTAATATTATATTTTGCCTTTTTTAAGGTTAAAAATGTAATTGTATTGTATATTAAAATTTAGGGACTGCAAAACACTCTTAACCAATAACACAATAATTTTTTGATTATGAGACAAATATATTAACTATAACTAAAACGGCTCAGTCTTTTATTGTGGATTGCATAGTGTAGTCCATAGTAAAAAGGTTGAGTTGTTGTTTTTTTACTGTGGACTACACAATGGAGTCCACAGTGAAAAGGCTAAGCTAATTTTTTTTTTTTTGCTTTGTTTTTTTAAGCTTTTTTTTTCTTTTTTTTCTAATGAATATTTTTTTATTAATGTTAAATTTTTTTCTATTTAGTTATCAAAATTTCATGATATAAATTTCGGGTTTGACAGGTTAACTTGATTTTTTTTTATGTTTCTTTATAATTAATTTTTTCATTTAATTTAGTTTGTTAATGTTAAAAAATTTTCTATTTAGTTATTACATTTTCATGGCACGGATTCCAGGTTTGATAGGTTAACCTAAAACTAATTATGGTTTAACCCGTAAATGTTTTTTTTCTATTTAGTTATCAAACTTTCATAACACAAATCTTAAGTTTGACGGATTAACCTGATTTGAAGGGTTAACCCAATTAATTCAATTTTTTTTCTTTTTCTTCATTAGTTTTTTTCTTGATTTAGGCTTTTTTATTTTAAATTAATCTTTTTTTTAGTATTTGTTTCTTCTTTTTTTCATTTTAATTAATTTTTTTAAATTAGTTTTTTAATATTAAATTTTTTTTCTATTTAGTTATCAAATTTTTATAATACGGATCCTAGGTTTGACGGGTTAGCCTAGTTAAATCAAAAAAATTTCAAGCGTAGATGAAGAAAGCTTGAGAACTTTTGAAAGAGCTTCCTTGATTGAAAAAAGAGCTTCCTTGCTTGAAGAGTTTATCTTGAAGAAAAATTGTATCTCCAAGCCTCTTTTCTTTAGGTTGAGGCCCTCTATATATAGAGATTTATTGGAGCTCTCATGTCCTTTTCCA